CGTTGTATTGCTGAGACTTTATTTAGGTGAGGTGATCATGTATTGTGAGGTGAACTCAAATGTTGATGCTCAGTCATGTTGCTGTTTCTTCGGTTACTGCTATATGCACAAGCACAGTCCCTCAACACAAGTCTCTAAAACTTGATCTAGCCTGACAAGACACTCAGATTAGTTTTATTTGGTGCGGCAAAAAGGTTACATCTGCCGCCACAGTGCGTGCGGATTGGAAGTATGCCTATGATGTAATCAGGCCCGAAAAAAATTTGTTTCTTATACTATTTAAACACACTCTATCTATACATAACTGCAAGTGTCTGTCACAAAAGCACATCCTTTTTTGAAAAAGTCTTTAGTGCAAGCCATGTAGACCACCAAAGAATGAAAGATACCACCGCTGGACCTGGCAACTTTGTTCTTTTCGCAACAACGTGTACAGTCGCCCACCGTTTCTTCGGACACTAAAGATTTGGACAGACCCATTCATTTGGACATCTCCGTGGCACAGACACTCATCACATCTAAGCAGTGTAAACTCAGGACCGAAAAACTGGACGCCTCACTGTTCATCGTTCAGATTTGTCGCACTCCGGCTGGCTGATGGAGTGTGGCATCGAATGCCACGACCAGCAGTCCGCATTAGTTCACGGATGAAGGAAAGGTAGGAGACGCCCTGACGTCACTCGCTATGAAGCCGCGATCGAGCCGGAAGTCGGCCATATTGACTGGTCGAATTCTCTTCTATTGTTTACATATGAATGCAAAGCAGAAGATGCGACTCTCTCTCTGGCTCGGAAAGTACGTGAGCTGCGCAGTGCGCTTGTCATGACATCCGAAACTAATGAAACGGGGCTCAACACTCCGGGCCAGCGTGACACCGTCGGCGAAGTCATTTCGTCCAAGTATTAACAGCAAGTAACAGTTCACCGACAACGAAGCAGTACAAGAGAACCCACGCTAGATGCACTGACAGCAGCCAGTGTTATCCCATCCTTACTTCAGCAACCCTACAGACAACACGATCGGTCTTGCGCCTTCTACGGTTGCTTTCCACCACGCGGCCGACGCAGCGTCCGGCCACTTTGTCCGTGTTCCGCGTGAAACTCACCTGCGTCAGCATTCTGCGACCGTGGTGACTTTGAGCACGGTGCAAGTGACACTTGAACGCGTTTGCTGTTACGTTGAGATTACATGCAATGCTGGGGGGGGGGGGAGTATACGAAGCGGAACAAAAAAGTTGTTTTAATACGCACATACAAGTTGTCACTGTACACACCCAACACGAAACTACGTATGTGCACATGGATCCTCATCTTCTTGCTGGGCTCAACAGCGTCATCCGTTGTCACAAGCAGGAGCACTGCCAACCGTCAATGGCCTGAAAGGCGTTCGTCGTCGTTCCGCTTTGTCATGGTGCGCAGCGCAACTTCGCTGAAGCCTAATTGCTTCATCCGCGCCATCCGCCGCACGAAACATGGCTCGTTCTACGCACTGTTGAAACCCCGTGAAGGACAAAAGGATTTGTAAACATTGCTAAGGGTACAGTAACTGCCAGGAGAGCATTGCGTACCCAATAACGCGGCGCAGAGCATGGATATTGTCCGCAACGGCTCAGCACGAGACCTGGGGAGACACACATGCCGTCGCATGCCGTGGCCGCTCACTGGTAGACCAGCTCCACTGCGCAACACGTAATCATAGCAACGCCGCCATTGTGCCCAAGAATGTGGCCGCCATGATGTCATTTTCGCCACACTTTTCACGTAGTGCGCCGACTGGGCATGCCCTCTCCTAGCTTTCCTTCCTCCGTGGCACTAGTTTCACAATATTTTCACCAGGTTGCCAGGTTTCACTGGCTATGGCTGGAGATTGTATCAGGATAAAAGTCAATGCAGATATTACAATTGTCGATTTTGAAGGCCATGCGTTTTTGGGGGTCACGTTATGGCCTTTTTTTTGCCGAGTATTCATTGAGTGACTACCACAACCAAACTGCAAGCCAAGACAAGCCATACTCAGAATCGGCTTGGGGATTGCTCTAAGTGGCTGCACATAAGCAGCGAACAAGAAAACACAAGTGCTGCAGCACGAACTAGCTTGACGCGACGTAGTTTCCTTTTGGCATTTGAGAGTTTGCTAGTCAAGTAATTCTGTGGCCAAGAGTCTTTTGCGTCTCACTCTCTTGTTTGTTGAAAGGTCTGATAAAATGGCTCCGACGCTTACAGGTTCATTTGTGTTTCTGGCTCTCACGATGAATTTGACAATTGCAAGACACAGATGGCGGCGAAAGAAGCTGTAATAGTTTGCCAGACCGAAGCGACCAAAGCAAGGAGACTTCAATCTGGCGCAGCTTAGGAGTTTGAGTCGGGCAGCTATGGCCAAACAGTGGCTTATGATGACTCCGCATAAATTCCGCCCACACCAATGCTATGCAGATTTGTGTTTGCCTAGACAGTGCGGCAACCTACAGTTATGGCCAAAGACTAGCTAAGATGCACGCAGACTTAGTCGCCTGTAATTGTGCTTGTGTGCCGACGTGCACTACTTTTTCTAGCCACTGGGCCAATAAAGGTGCTTTTTTCTGGCGGGTCCTTTTTTCAGACTCTCCATTATTCGTATTTTTCAACGGTTCTTGCCGAGTGTGAACGAACAGTCAGCGAGTTATAAATCCAATAGCTACATAACATCGCTTATGCAGCAAAACATATTACATGCCAACACACAGATAGTTAATACTGAAATGAATACACGAATTGAAAATCAGCAAATTTACAAAAAATCTGAAGTATATATGATACAAAGCTTTAACATTTTCTTGACGTGGCGAGCTTAAGTGCAAGTAACATATTTATCTTTGTTTCTGCCAAATATCAGTGTTTCACAAAGTCATGATGCACAGCTGCAAGTTCAGATGGGCAACAAGATGTCTTCTTTTCACAATATCATTCACGCATTGTGCGTATTCCTTCATTTGCTCAGTTTTTCAACGCCCAGTTTGCCCGTTGCAGGTGTTGTCACTAGAATGAGGTATAGTGTACATCAAAGTTGCTGCGCGGGATATAGCAGACCCCATGCTAGACTAATGTACGCTACGCCCCAACCCCCACTCCTGCATATACAGCATCACTGCTTAGCAAGCTTGTTTCATACAGAAAAAGCCGTAGAGATATTGCGGTTGCTACCAACTCTTTTGGATTCATGTGTGACAGCATGAAAGTAAGGCGCCACAACTGGCCCAACAGTTCAGATTCACACATCACCTGCTTGATTTTTTTAATACCGTGGCTTCGATAACGGCCGTAAGAAATAGCAGAGGGTAGCTTGCCGCCAGAACATTATCCAGTACCTGACCGTTAAATCTTTACTCCATTTTACACTCACGCAAGCTTTTGAAAGCGGCTTTCTTACGTGACGACACAATTTCTCTTTTATTAACTTTCCTACGGGTGGGTTTAAATGACACAAGCTGTTGGTATAGGCTGATTTCTGCCCTTGATGATGTTCAGTGCAGACTTAACAAAAAAATGGAAGAAGAAGGAGAGCACCTTGAACTTGGCCCACGCACAAGTGCATGTATGTGTCCCTATTTGTCTTGCCCTGTAAAGATAAGTCTGCATTGAGCACCGTCAACAAAGCTGAAAGCCTATGCCTGTGATAATAAAGTCAGCCAATTGAAAATTTGGGAAAAGATGAATTGTGTCATTTATGAAACTTGCTTTCAAAGTTCATGTGAGCACAAGATGCAGATTTTTGGCCACCATTTGGCTGCAGGCAACAATATGGTGTGACATACAGCTGTCCCTGAAGCCGCGATTAAAAAAACAGTAAAAGGGCGACGCGTGAATGAGAACCATTCAGATCATGTGCAGTGCCGTGACTTTATCAGGTGGGACATAACCTCTAGATAGTTGCTAGAAGGCACAATATCCCTTTTGACGCTTTTTTATAATGCACAGGCTTGCTCAGCTGTGCTTTAACACAAGCTGTGGTTACAGGCATGGATGCCAAAACAAGCAAGCTCTCTCCAATGTTCCATGCAGTAAATGTGTATTTAATGTCATATTTCTGTGTTTAGTGTTTTAGCAAGACATCAAGTGGGTAAATTTCCCTTGAAAGACGTAGAGAACAATGCAAAGAAAATAAGTATTTCCGTTCACAGAAAAGCACGCTCTTTTGTTCACCTTAACTGCTGCAGCTGTGCACGGCAGTTTTTTGAGACATTGACTCGACGCCTTGTTTTTGTTGCAAAAACATGCGGCTCAGCACTTGAGCACGAGGCCATTTTTGCATTTAAAGATAAATTCAAGACATCTTTCGGTATTACAGCAGTACTGAAGTTGAGAAAGTAAACATGAACTGGTATGCAGCCATTAATCTCGAGTCCCTGCTGGGCTGTTCGACACTATAGATCCAAATGAACAACACTGATCAAAATGCTGTCGTGGTACAAGCTTTTGTGTTTTGAATTTTTTAACAGCACAAAGATATTCAAAAAAGGCGTGTGAAAGCTCCGCGTGCAGATTATCTAAGCTGTTCTTCATGCACGACAAAGAAATTATTCACTTTTAGAAACTTTTCTAAGGCAGAAATTTTATATCAGCAAAGGTAACCCCTGTTCACTTTCTTTGACAGCAGTTAACAAAACAGCAGGTTGCCCTTTGTATCCCTCATTTACGCAGCGTCACTCTACCACATCCACTCTGTCTTCTGCATAGTTGCTTACAACAACCCGAGATCAACTTTGCTTTGCCCAAACTTCCAGGTACATTTGGCCTAGAATAGCGAAGACTTGGTAGGAAACTGTTGGTTGGGAGGCGGCCACGCCGCTCCAGCAGTAAACGTGACAGTCGGACCATGCCAACAGAAAAGAACCGCCAGTTTTATTCACACTCGTGAATATATATAGGAAAGTAAGGGGGAGAGGGAAGGGGGATAAGATTGTGCACATGCGCACTTGAGAGCTTGGGTCGCGTCGTTCAATGGGTTACAGCATTTCTTCCCCCTTAGTAGCCAAAACGCACGACCGGTTTCTTGGCTCGTGTGGAGCGACGTAGTACGTATGGTTGCGATTCAGGGGTACTCTGAGAGGTAGCCGGCGCCGTTGTTTCTAGTCGTACCGGCCCTGGGGAAACCGGTGTAGAAGGCCTCGACATGTCGTCGGCTGCTGGCGTTTCATCTGGGCTCCGCTTGCGAACTTGATCCACGTGGCGGCGGACAAGGCCATCCACAGTCTTTACCTCCAGGAGGCGAGTGCCACGCGTAGCCTCCACTGTGCCTGGGAACCACTTGTCTCCGGCGCCGTAATTTCGCACGTACACGTAGTCTCCCGGTGCGAAATTCCAGCCTGGGTCACTCGCAGCTTTGGCAGGATATACTCTGGAAGGAAAAGACATCTCCATTCTTGTGCGCAGACGGTATCCTAATAGCCTCTCTGAGGGAGAAGGACCCTCCTGGTGTGGTGCGTTCCGATAATTGCACAATACACGTGCCAGTGAGGTGAGGAGGCAAGTGCCGCCTATCTTCTTCAAGCCATCTTTGATAGTGCGCACGGCTCGCTCTGCTAGTCCATTACTCTGGGGGTGATAGGGAGGTGTTCGAATATGCGCAATGCCATTGCGCTCCATGAACTGCTCAAACTCTCGTGCCGTGAATGGCGTCCCGTTGTCAGAAACCACCGTGCGCGGTATACCAAAACGGCTAAATATCGTTCTGAGGGCCTCGACTGTGCTATGCGAGTTGGCCTGCGACACGGGAAGCGCCTCAATCCACTTGGTGTGCGCGTCGACAACGATGAGTAACATTTTCCCTTTTACTGGTCCCGCATAGTCCACATGTAACCGCGACCACCTTTCGTGCGTCTCGGGCCAATTTACTGGTTCTTTTGCCGCCTGAGCCATCGGCAACGCTTGCACACAGTTTTGGCATGTCGCCGCAACGCGCTCGATGTCTTGCTCTACGCCGGGCCACCAAAATAACGATCTGGCCTTCGCCTTCATGGTGGAAATTCCTTGGTGGGCTTCATGCAGTAGCCTTAGCAACTTCCCGCGTGCTGCTGTCGGCACTACAAAGCGATGGCCCCAGTAAAGAAGTTCTTCACTAACAGACAGCTCATGCCGCCTTTTGTAAAAATCGGCGATTTCTGTAGTTTCCGTGTCGAGTTTTTTCGGCCAACCTTCCCGGGTATACTTGCGTACCTGGAAAAGTACCTCATCCGCGACGGCGAGTGCCTGGAGTTCCTTCCATGGCAGGGCCGGCTGATCCCACTGGTCCAGGGTCAGAACTTGAGCTTCGTCCTCCTGGTCCACTTCTTCCTGCAACGGTTGGGGTAGACGGCTAAGAGCATCAGCATTGCACATGAGTTTACCCGGTCGATGTTGCAACCGATAACGGTAGGCACCAAGTATGATGGCCCAACGCTGAATGCGCGCAGCGGCCATAGCCGGCGTCTGGCGATCCGCTCTTAGGAGACCCAACAGTGGTTGATGGTCGGTTAGAAGCGTGAACTGTCTGCCCAGCAGATAATCTCGGAATCGCGTGACGCCATAAACCAGAGCCAACGCCTCACGTTCAATCTGTGCATAATTCTTTTATGCGGCAGTAAGCGTCCTGGATCGAAATCCAAGGGGCTGATACTGTCCTTCAATTCGGTGGAATAGTGCCGCTCCCACACCGTAGGGTGACGCGTCGCACTCCAGAAATAGCTCTCGTGCGGGATCGAAGTGAGTTAACACAGGCGCGGAACACAAAACGGCTTTTGCTTTTCGGAAGGCATCGTTTTCGCGCTTATCCCAAGACCATTTCGATTTCTTTTCCAGAAGAAGGTATAGGGGACTCAGGAGCGTGGACAGATTAGGCAAGAATTTATTGTAGAAAGTTAGCATGCCCAAAAAAGACCGCAATTCCGTGACATTGTGAGGAGTCGGTGCCAGCTTAATTGCTTCGATGTTCTTGTCTGACGGGTGCAACCCTGCCGCGTCAATTCTGTGTCCTAGATACGTAACTGACTCCTCACCTATTCGGCACTTGTCCGCGCGGAGCTTCACGCCGTACTCCCTGAACCGCTGCAAGACTGCTTGCAGGTTCGCAGTTGGCTTATCGTTCGCATCTGCTATCAGGACGTCGTCTAAGTACGCTTGAACCCCTGGGAGGCCTTGCAGCACCTGCTCAATTGTTCGTTGAAAAATCGCAGGGGCCGAGGCTATCCCAAACGGTAGCCTGTTATAACAAAAGAGGCCCTTGTGAGTGTTTATAACCGCTAACTTGCGCGAATCTTCGTCTAGAAGAATTTGGTTGTAGGCATCACGTAGATCCAAGATACTGAACTGCTGCCCTCCACGAAGCGTAGCGAAAATGTCGTCCACTACGGGTAGAGGATAACTTTCCATTTCACATACTGGGTTTAGAGTAACTTTGAAATCGCCACAGATGCGGACTGTTCCGTCACGTTTCAGCACTGGCACCACCGGGGTTGCCCATTCTGAATAGGAAACTGGCGTAATAATGCCTTCGGCCACGAGTCGATCTAGCTCGGCGGACACTTTGTCTAGCAAAGAAAATGGAATTTTTCTTGCCTTACAGAACCTTGGGGTTGCTCCGTCCTTTATATGAAGCCGTGCTGGTGGTCCCTTGATGGCTCCCAGGCCCTCCGCAAAAAGGTCTGCGTACTGTTCCAGCACGGGTGCCGCTGTCCGACTCTCCAGCTTCCCGTCCGATGAGAGTGACGCGATGTGAAGAAGCGGTGCCCCTTGTGTCTCGAGCATCTGTAACAGGTCACGGCCGCAAAGGCTAGGACCTTCGCAGTCTAACACAACGAGATCGCAGTCAACTGTTGCAGACTTGTAGGAAGCTTGCATTTTGACAATGCCCCGCACTGGTATCTTCCCAAGATAGCATGACAGAGTTAATGCAGCTTTACAAAGCGGTGGCCACTTATGACGATAGGCTTCGTATATCGCTTTAGGCACTACGCAGACAGGTGAACCTGTGTCGATTATCATATTCAGTGGCACTCCGTTCCATGTAACCTGCTTGTGTAGAGGCGGAACCAGGCTTTCATTACCCTTCACTGACCATATTTGTAGTGCGTTACAATCGTTATCTTCACTTTCCGCTGAACACTCTGTTATCGCGAAGGTTCTGTTGGTGGTGGCTGTCCGGGAGCATACTCGCGCCAAGTGACCTTGTCGCCCACATTTGTAGCACCTGCGCCGTCGTAATGAGCATTCCCTGGCTTGATGTCCCTGTTTGCCACAGCAGCTGCAGTGCTGCGATAAGCTGCTCCGTTCGCTCCTGCTGATTTCGGGTTGCCTGCTACGCTGCACGTTGAACACCCCAACGGCGTCACCTTGCCCGGTCATCTGTTGCGACCCTAACTCCGCGCTTTCGGCTGCTAGAGCTAGTGCTTCCGCTTCTGCCAGCGTCAAGTCCTTTTTGGCTAATAGTTGTTTCTGCAGGTTTTTCGAGCGCACTCCACAAACGATGCGGTCCCTCAGCATTCGCTCCAACATTGAAGAGAAGTTGCAGTTATGCGCTAGTTTGCGAATCTCGACGATAAACGCCTGCACGGACTCCCCTTCTTGTTGGTTTCGGTGAAAGATCTTGAAGCTTTCTGATATCTCGTTAGGGGACGGATCATAGTGCTCGTTCAAGGTTGAAACAACTTCTTCGTAACTCAGCGAGCTTGGTTTTCGCGGTACGATTCTGCCGCAAAGGATTTCAACGGTCCTCGATCCTAACGCAGCCACCAACAAGGCCCTTTTCTTCGCGTCGTCCGTAACTTCGTTCGCTTCGAAGTAGGCGTCAATCTTAACGAGATACGCTTGCCACTTATCTGTCTCCTCTGCAAAATCCGGAAGCTTGAGGGCCATGGCTGCGGGCGGGCTGATGGGCGTCTTCGTCTTGGTCTCGCCGCTGGCGCCCGGCTTACACGTATCGGTGGGTATTCTCGTCGCCACTGTTGGTTGGGAGGCGGCCACGCCGCTCCAGCAGTAAACGTGACAGTCGGACCATGCCAACAGAAAAGAACCGCCAGTTTTATTCACACTCGTGAATATATATAGGAAAGTAAGGGGGAGAGGGAAGGGGGATAAGATTGTGCACATGCGCACTTGAGAGCTTGGGTCGCGTCGTTCAATGGGTTACAGCAGAAACGAAGACTATTTATAAGACGCTCAACACGCAGCCGAGTTTATTTTGAAAAGTATCTCAGCGCAAAAACAAATTCACATGCACAGTCGCACCTGATTTTCACTGAACCAACAGAAAATATCTGGGTAAAAAACGTGTTACCAGTTTGCGATACTATGAATGGGACATATTTAATCAGTTTTTAGACTTAACTGCATTTAAGAAAGTTAATTTTTTTATTGTCAGATGCATGGTTGATGTACTGATTCATGCATCTGCGGGAATTTTAGTATTTCCCGCCTGTAAGATTTTGCGCTCACATCTGCCCTTAGCCCTGCCCTTGAAGTCCTCCTCTTCCAAAAGTGCATTGCAGTCTTATGTACTTACAATGGGCAGGAAGGCGCACTCCGCACTTCCGAGCATTCACTGTAGCTGCGTTCTCTGCGAGTCTATCGTTAAGGCATCGGCCTGTTTGGCAGATATAAACTTTGCCACAACTGAGTGGTACCCTATATACCACTTCCGTAGCTCGGGGGACAAATAGCTTCTTATGTTTCCTTCAACAGAATACGTTATCTGTTTTGTCACCTGCAATAGTGCACAAATGAAAAAGCTCTAAGGGTGCTGAGAAGAGAAGGTGTACGTTATTCTTGGAACATGAAATGGTATGCTGAGTGTAAGGAATTACAACGAACTTCTTGAATCTTTGTCGTGTTGGCACGCTCAGTGAACTCTCAATCTGCTTGAGAAGACAGGATGCTAGGGCAACGAGCAATGTGACAAAAAACCCGAAGTTAGAAGATGTGAAATCTGGCGGTCAAAGCTAAGGCTGTCCTCATTATTGCATGACTTGGTCAAAGCCGTGTTGAGGCATGAAGCAGTGATCCCCCTTTTCACTAGTATAGTATGAAAAGAGTCACATGGGAGGATAAATTTTTTTGAACGGCGCTAATACTCCCAGCAACACTGAATCATATTGTTCGGTGAACACTCCTTCAAGCAGGGTTCATCCTCACTATCCTTTACAATAAACCTTCCCGACAATGATGCGATCCAGAAAACATGTGAGAACCACAATTCCTGAAAATGTAAGCAACGACCGAAAAAAGCTATCCTCCAATTTGACTCTTTCCATACAATACTGGCGAAAAGAGGGTTTGCTTCTTCGTGCCTCAACTTGGCTTTGACCAAGTCATGCTCCCTTAAACTCAACTTCAGCTTCAATCACTACATTTTGTGCCTTCGAACTTCAGGTTTTCCTTGCACATTACCCGTGGCTATAGCATCCTCCCTTCTGAAGCTGATAGCGACTTCGCCCAGCGTGCCAACACGACAGAGGTACTACACGTTGAACAAGTTTGTTTCAACTCCCTACAATCACACGATTTCATGCAACCTTAAGAAAATAGCTTCAAAATAGGGAATAGACCTCATCCTCACGGCCCCCTTAAAGATTTTCTGTTTGTGCACTTCTTGCAACTGAAAGAACAGAGAAACAAGTATGTCGAAAGTAGCATAAGAAGCCATTGGTCCGATGTGCTACAGAAGGGGTATATAAAATATCATTCAGTTATCGTATACCTTACTTCACTCAAACAGGCAAATGCCCAAACGACAGACTTGAAGAGCACACAACTACGGTGAATGCTTGGAACATTGGGGTGCGCCTTCTGGTGCAGTGCAGTACATGCGGCTGCAATGCACTTTCCGAGAAGGCGATTGTTAAGGGCAGGTGTGAGTAGAAAATATTACAGGCGGGAAAGACTAAAAAACTGCAGATGCATGTGTCAGTGTACCTTCGGACCATCTGACAATGAAATAAACATCCTCCAATGCAGGTAAGTCAAACAACTAAATAAGCATGCCCCCTTCATGGTATTGTACATTGTTAACATCTAAAAAGATGTTAACAATGTACAATACCATGAAGGGGGTACATTGTTAACATACCCAGACATATTTGTTGTTGGTTCAGTAAAAATGAGGTGCGACTGTGCCTGAGCATTTGTTTTTGCACTTAAATACTTTTCCAAATAAACTCGTTTGCAAGCTGAGCGTCTTCTAAGTAGTCTTTCTTTGACTCCAAGCCTTGGCTCTTCTAGGCCAAATGTAAAATAACTAGCCCAACAATGCAGTGTTTGGAAGCATACTTCCACATATATTGGATGCTGTGGCCACGTGTCCACCTTAATTTAAGAATCACGGCACTTCCCAGTAAAAGTCACCCTATACTTTTTTGCTGATGAGACGGCACATTTGTTTGGAGTGTATTCATGTTTTTCTTGTGCTTTTATTAAAATGACTGGATGCATTTAGCCTTCATTTCTCCTTGTTCGGCACATGTTTTGCTGATGAGCATAGCTAGCATGGGTACCTTTTTCACAGCAATTTTCTGGTACTTGGGCCTTGCGACTGCTGTACCAGTTCCGTCTCTTGGCCTTGTTCACTTTGAACTTCTTGCTTTGGGGCTTTCGGGGGTCACAGCACCTTCGGAAATGCTTCTTCTCAAATTCATTGCATTTAGGCGCTTTTTCAGGTTTTTGGCTTTTGTTTTAGCCGTTTGTAATGTGCTCCACCTCTTGTCAAAAGCAGTCAACTGCAAACGGGAGTTGAAATTCAAGCTATCATTATGCCGTGCAGGTGAACAACCAGAACAGTTACAGTTCCGTGTTGGGTCCATCAAATGTATTACAAATCTTCGTCACTTGCGTTTGTGAAACTGAAATTTATGACTGAATTCACACCTTTCCACAATTACATACATCTTTAAGGAGCAGTGAATTAGTGTTAGTTCTCTTACTTTCACGAAGAGCTTTTCTCCTGGCAATGAGAAAACCAAATTGTTGTGAATTTCACATGCTTCAGTGCGAAATATTGGTAAAAATAGGTGCAATTTTTTCTATTTAGTCAAGTCATTTGCCCTGAAGCTCAAACGCTCAACATTAGATTGAGAGCTGTCAACTTCAGTGTTCAATTCATCTGATCTGCAGACAAGAGAATGAATTGGCCGCAGAAAAAAAACGCTATTTGCCGAACTTTCACATTCATAGCTGGCCTTGTGGTTATAACACATACGGTGTCCGTGTGAGGCCACCACATCCTCGTGGATATTGTCCAGCAGGCCCTGTGACACAGATGCCACCCGGATTACTTGACTAACTGTTGCATACTAACAGCAACGGAACTGCAGTGAAAACGCAAACAATTTATTGACCAGAAATGTTTCTTCTTTTATAGGCAATATTGTGACACACGTAGGACCTTGTTCAGCTTTCAACATCCCCATACTGTTTGGAAATGAAACGTCATACAAGAGCTTGCACCACGTCGCAAAAATTCCTTTTATTTTTGCTTAAAATTATTAGCTAATTGCCTTTTGCTTACTCATGCTTATGGTCATGCTTTATTAAGCAAATAGATTAGCTCATTTGGTAGATTATTATTAGGTTTCTTTCATACACACTTTGACACAAATCTATGTGACAATCGGGAACAGAAAATACTATTCATAATTGCAAGGCTGCGTGAAGTCTTCAATGGCTTTTGGGAGGAGGGCACAAAGTATCTAAACAGCAGGCACATTAGTTGTCAAACAACTATATTTACATTCACTGTTAGCAAAATTAGGATAAAATATTTTTTCACCACACAGATATTCTGTAAAAATTTTATTCAAGCTATGTCTTGGGGTGCAGAGAATTTCGGAATGCCATTGATGGAAGTGGGGGAATTTAGGTTTTTCAACATATCAAATATGTTCACTACAGTTATTGCTATCCATTGCATAGTGGCAAAGACCTACACTTGGTTCACAAACTAAGTGCAAAAGACCCTAATTTAATAATGCTTTTATGCATTTAAAATTTTTATGTCCTAATGCTATTGAGCGCTATTGAAAATAGGCCCAAACTAGGTGTACCTCTCAGCTGAACACTTGTTGCTAAGTGCCGAAGTCCTTGAAAGAAGTACGTCGAATAGCAGTTGCGGCAACAAATTTATTCCCATGAAGGTGCATAAGTCTTGAAACAAAACAGCAAAAATATGTAGTGAGCTAATCATAATATAATCGAAGTGCGACCGAGTTTAGAACGTCACGCCAGAGGTAGCAGCACAGCAGGCATTACTGCCGTGAATAATTTACCAACTCTCCTGCTACTTCCCCACATAGTACAGTGAATTCAAATGGTCTGTAAGCTTAATACTGTGCCTACAATATTTATTTGAAAAAGCAGAGCCATGAGGGAGCTAATCAAAGCCCTTGCAATGTTCACTTCTCAGCTGAGTGCCTTTTAATCATGCAATACTATTTTGAACCTAGCGCACTGCCACAATATTATAGTGACAGAGGCAACATCGTGCAGTATAGCTTGGCAAAATTTTTTCCGAGTTTTTGAATCCTAGTGCCCAGCCCTATATGCATAAGCTGTGCTCGAATTTTTTTTTCGCGTATATACTTTATTGTCACACAGAATGATGGACTAGCATATAGACCCATTCCATGTTTGTAAACACGGGTAAGCTGATGCGAACATTATGGGGAAAATTATAGCGACGTCCGCATGTAACTTCCGCCATAAGCGTGGAGGGCTGCGATGTGCGCCAACAAACAAAACTAAATTGTGAGACGCGACTCAGATTCAACCGCGATGCAGTTCGTCGGCATACCGTTTTTTCCTCGTTGCTTGATTGAGAACACCACACGCACTATTGAAAGCCCAGCATAAACTGCGGTAGGCAGAGC